AGATTATAGTCCAACAGGTTTATTTGAAAACACAAGCTTTTGGAGTCTTACTCCTTCTTCAGATGTTAGTGAGAGAGGTAGTATCAGACACAGAATTTATAAGTAAAAGATCAAAGGGTCACAGCACTGATGAAGATATACTAAACAAACCTAAGGTGCTTTTAAATCTTTAATCAGTTAGGAGATTTTGATTGATTAATATGTAAGAATCATAAGTTGAAGGGGAGAAGTCAGGAAAATGGAGTTTAAGGATTATCAGAACAGCCATGATCTCATTGAGCCGACTCAATAGGCTGAAGGGCCTACTTATATTCCAACATCTTATGGTCTAACGTATTCCCATTTCTGAGCTAATGACAGAAAGAAAGTAATTGGAGCAACTGAGATGATTGATCCTCACAAACATAAATACATTTTGCTGGGTATGCTTCCAGACAGCAGAGAGGTTTTGTCCTGATTCCAACTGTTTTCAAATTTATTGTGACAACAAGGAGCGCCAATGTCAAGGATGTTAAACCAATGTTCTATCTATTCTTTATAAATGAACAGAAAAGATCCAATAGCATTATTTCAAAGGAAAGCAGTGAAGCTAATTTTTATTCCTCCATCAACATCACCAAACAGATTACCTAGTCATTGTCACTTTACTGTTCTTAGGATCTTTCCGTCAACTGCCACTTTTCTACATTACAACAGTGACTGTACTTCAACAGCGGCATAGCACTTTGGAAACTGGGGCTGTGAGACGCCTGTGACAATGCAAAGATTCCTTACTGTCAACCTTTGGAATTCAGCTCTTTTGACCAAGGTTGTAATGAGGCCAGGAGCTGAGTGATTCTGGTGGAATCCAGAGGAAGCATCATTGAGAAGGCAGTTAGTGTCAATGTACTGCTTGACAGCATTGTTCAGGGCATCTTGCTTCACTTTGCGAATGATGAGGTGGTAATTGATCAAAATGAATGGTCCTCATGTTTGGATATACTGAGCATTATTCCAGTTCACTTGGAGGATGCAAGAATTGCAACTGTGCTAAAACAGCTTGGTGAGAGGCATGGTTACTTCTGGACCACTAATGTTCAGGATAGTTCAAATGTTTGTTAGGGCGCAAAGTCTTTGCTATATCTAGTATGCTCAGATCTTTCATCATGTTGCAATTTGGCTGAAAACTGGTTTCTATCCTAGCAGAAAGAGAAAACTAAGATAGATCACAAACTCAATACCCCTGATAGTGGAAGTTTTCAAGGACTTCACCCTAGACTCATACATTCATATACAGGCCTCTGTATCATATTTAAGGATAAGGTTGATCATGGAGCTTCCTTCACCATTTAGGTGTTTATTTTACACTACCATGCATGACTATGTGTAGCAGACTTACAGAACTTTGATCAGATCTGTCGGTCTGTTCATTTCAGGATTACTGAACTGTCTGTAGTATATTGCTCCTGATGTTTAATATGGAGTAGGCATAGAACATAGAACAGTACAGCACAGCACAGTACAGGCCCTTTGGTCCACGATGTTGTGCCGACCTATTATCCTACTAAGATCAATCTACCCTGCATACCCTACATTTTACTATTCTCCATGTGCCTATCCAAGAGTTGCTTAAAAATCTCTAAAGTATCTGACTCCACTCGCACTGCCGGCAGCGCATTCCACATGCCCACCACGCTCTGTGAGAAGAACCTACCTCTGACATCTCCCCTACACCTTCCTCCAATCACCTTAAAATTATGCCCCCTCGTAATAGTCATTTCTGCCCTGGGAAAAAGTCTCTGGCTATCCACTCTATGCCTCTCATCATCTTGTACACCTCTATCAAGTCACCTCTCATCCTTCTTCGCTCCAATGAAAAAAGCTCTAGCTCCCTCAACCTTTCCTCATAAGACCTGCCCTCCAGTCCAGGCAGCATCCTGGTAAATCTCCTCTGTACCCTCTCTATAGCTTCCACATCTTTCCTGTAAAGAGGTGACCAGAACTGAACACAATATTCCAAGTGTTGTCTGACCAGAGTTTTATAGAGCTGCAACATAACCTCACTGCTCTTAAACTCCATTCCCCTGCCAATGAAAGCCAACACACCATATGCCTTCTTTACAACCCTATCAACATGGGTTGCAACTTTGAGGGATCTATGGATGTGGACACCAAGATCCCTCTGTTCCTCCACACTGCCGAGAATCCTGCCATATTCTGCATTCAAATTCGACCTTCCAAAATGAATCACCTCACACTTTTCTGGGTTGAATTCCATCTGCGACTTCTTTGCCCAGCTCTGCATCCTGTCAATGTCCTATTGCAACCTACAACAGCCCTCCTCGCTGTCCACAACTCCACCAACCTTCATGACATCGGCAAACTTACTAACCCACCCTTCCATTTCCTCACCCAAGTCATTTATAAAGATCACAAAGAGCAGAGGTCCCAGAACAGATCCCTGCGGAACACCACTGGTCACCGAGCTCCAGGCTGAATACTTTCCATCTACTACCACCCTCTGTCTTCTATTGAACAGCCAGTTTTGTATCCAGACAGCCAAATTTCCCTGAATTCCATGCCTCCTTACTTTCTGAACGAGCCTACCGTGTGGAACCTTATCGAATGCCTTGCTAAAATCCATGTACACCACATCCACTGCTCTACCTTCATCGATGTGTTTTGTCACATCCTCAAAGAATTCAGTAAGGCTTGTGAGGCATAACCTGCCCCTCACTAAGCCATACTGACTATTTCTAATCAAGCTGTGCTTTTCCAAATAATCATAAATACTATCACTCAGAATCCTCCCCAATAATTTGCCCACCACAGAAGTAAGACTGACTGGTCTGTAATTTCCAGGATTATCCCTATTCCCGTTCTTGAACAAGGGAATGACATTTGCCACCCTCCAATCTTCTGGTACTACTCCAGTGGACAGTGAGGATGCAAAGATCATTGCCAAAGGGCAGCAATGTCTTCCCTTGCTTCCCGTAGTAACCTTGGGTTAACCGTCTAGCCCAGGGGACTTATCTATCCTCATGTTTTTCAAAATTTCTAGCACATCCTCCTTCCTCACAACAACCTGTTCAAGCATATCTGCCTGTTTCATGCTGTCCTCACAAACATCAAGGTCCTCTCACTGGTGAATACTGAAGCAAAGTATTCATTAAGAACCTCCCCTACCTCCTCTGACTCTGCACACAAGTTCCATCCACTATCCCTGATTGGCCCTACCCTCACTTTGGCCATCCTCTTGTTCCTCACATAAGTGTAGAAAGCCTTGGGGTTTTCCTTGATCCTACCCGCCAAGGTTTTCTCATAACCCCTTCTAGCTCTCCTAAGTCCATTCTTCAGTTCCTTCCTGGCTACCTTGTTGGCCTCTAGAGCCCCATCCGATCCTTGCTTCCTCAACCTTAAGTAAGCTTCCTTCTTCCTCTTGACTAAGTGTTCAACACGTCTTGTCATCCAAGGTTCCTTCACCTTATCATCCTTTCCTTGCCTCAGTGGGACAAACCTATCCAGTACTTGTATCAACTGCTCTCTAAACAACCTCCACATTTCTATCATGCATTTCCCTGAGAACATCTGATCCCAATTGGTGCTCCGTAGTTCTTGCCTAATAGCATTGTAATTCCCCCTCCCCCAATTAAATACTTTCCCATACCATCTGCTCCTATCCCTCTCCATGACTATAGTAAAGGTTAGGGATTTGTGATCACTATCACCGAAATACTCTCCCACAAAGAGATCTGACACCTGACCTGGTTTGTTGCCAAGCACCAAATCCAATATGGCCTCCCCTCTCGTCAGCCTATCTACATATTGAGTCAGAAATCCTTCCTGGACACACCTGACAAAATCTGCTTCATCCAAACTATTTGCACTTAGGAGGTTCCAGTCTATATTAGGGAAGTTGAAGTCACCCATGACAACAACCCTATTACTTCTGCACCTTTGCAAAATCTGTCTCCCAATCTGTTCCTCAGCGTCTCTGTCGCTAATGGGGGCTCTGTAGAAAACTCCCAATAAAGTGACTGCTCCTTTCCTGTTTCTGACTTCCACTTATACTGACCCAGTGGACAAACCCTCCTCCACTACCCCCCTTTCTGCAGCTGTGATACCATCCCTGATTAGCAATGCCACTCCCCCACCTTTTTTACCTCCCTCCCTATTTCTTTTGAAACATCTATACCCCGGAACATCCAACAACCACTCCTGCCCCTGTGTTATCCAAGTCTCTGTAATGGTCACAGCATCACAGCACTTTGCCCTATCAACTGCTTATCCTTCCTCATAGATTCTCTGCTTGCTCTATCTATCTGTACACTGGCTACCCCATCCTCTGATCTGTAGCTCCGGTTCCTATCCCCCTGCCAAACTGGTTTAAACCCTCCTGAAGAGCTCTAGCAAACCTCCTTGTAGTTTAACAATGTTGACATCGTATTTTTAGGTATGTTTGGTGTTTCTCTTGCATGTTTTTGTACCCTCTTCAATGAATCAAAATTGGTCCCGTACTTTGCTTAGTATTTGTAATGTGTGGAATATGCTAGCCTATAAGGTTACAGATTGTGTGCAACATAGAGCTGCTTTTGATGATGCCCCACAGTGAGTCATTGCTCAGTTTTAAGCTACTAGATTTGTTAGAAATTAATCATATTTATCACAGGGGTAGTGCTATACAATATGATTGAGAGTATTCTCACTGTTAGCATATGACTTGGTCTGCACAAGAACTTCTAAGCCCTTCTAATGCTGCCACGGAGAGGTGTATTTGCCACAAGAAGATTGGGATGACAGCAAGGAGGCTTCTCCTTTCTGCTGATTCTATCACCACCCGCTGCTGGCTTAGTCTAGTAGCTATGTCCTTTTAAATCTCAGCCAACCTGGTCACTAGTACCAAGCTACTTAATGTGGTGGGCATTGAAGTTCCCCACCCAGAGTGCAATCTGAAACCTGCAATGCCTCTTCCACTGGTGTTCACTCAAATTATTAATTAACTTTTTTCTTTTTTTTATTAGGAAGGTATCCTGAGCACATGGATTTTCTACAGTGACAACACAGCTGTACCATTGACCCTTTATGATGCTAAGGACTACAACCTGACAGTTACCACACTGAATGACAAAGTAGTCTCTTCAACCCAGGATTCTGTTTGGTCTCTGATAATAGCAGAAGGCGAAGGGTCAGGCGAATTTATTAAGGTGGAATTGGGGATCTGTGAACTGTGTAAAAAGACCAATCGCAAGAGTTTGTTGTTTGTAACACTGGTCAATGTGAATGTCCACTTTGGGTCTGATGATAACTCAGAAGAAGACCTAGAAAACACTGGTGAGGACTACGCACCTGATGGAGTTAGATTTGAAAGTAACCCATTTGGACATAAACCAAAAGAGAAAGGGCAATTTGACTTCAAGCCAGATACTTCCTCTGCAACTGGTGACCATGAGGGAAGTGTTCTACGGAAGGTTGGCACAACAGTAAAGTCATCTGTAGAAGAAAGGACTGATTCAAGGGTGGAACTGGGCAGGGATATTGATGGCATGCAAGATAGTGGAGTGCACTTTGATAACACAAGGGTGTCCAGCCTGCCTGTTGATATTGATATTACAGATCTGCCAAAGGATCTTGCAGATCCTGATGATGAATATGCTCCCACACCAAGGGGTCTGACTGACTTGGAAATTGGAATGTATGCACTATTAGGGGTCTTCTGTCTTGCCATTTTGGTTTTTCTAATAAACTGCATTGTCTTTGTTCTCAAGTATAGGCACAAACGTATTCCCCCAGAAGGGCAAGCAAGCATGGACCATTCGCATCACTGGGTGTTCCTAGGCAATGGTCAACCCCTTCGTACCCAGGCTGACCTCTCACCCCAGCCTGAAAGTCCTGGAAACCCATTAGAAAATATCCAAACTTGCTGCCATAGTGACCATCAGAGTAGTGGCAGCTCACAGACAAGTGTACAAAGTCAAGTGCACAGCAGAGCAGATGGTTCATCTGGGGGCTCAGTAAGGGAACACAGTGAGGATCCGCTGCACTCACCCACCTCCAAACGTAAGAGAGTCAAGTTTACCACTTTCACCACACTGCCATCAGAGGAACTTGGCCTGGCCTACAATTGCATCCCTATAGCCGATGAGGAAGACATTGAGTGGGTCTGCCAAGATATGGGCCTCAGAGACCCAGAAGAACTACACAGCTATATTCAGAGAATAAAGGAGATTGCATAGACTGCTGCAGCTTTTCCTTTGGTACATTTATATTTACCAGAAATTTGTCTCATGTACAGTTTTTGTTTGACCCACAGTATGAGGCTGCAAAGCGTGGAGATCTACGGAATAGAAAAGCACTATAACAACGCTTATGGTCAATTGGCCACTGACAAGGCTGCATTAAGTATAATGCATTTGCAGCTGATCAAACGTTTTGGAAAGATTATACTCTACTGGAAATGGTATTAACAAATTACAGTTTACAGGAGGCAAAGTCTCTTATGTCAATGTAAGAAATAACTAGTATAGCACAGAGGCATACTGTTCACTGTTATTCAAAGAATGTATGCTGGGATTTCTTTGTGTAGGTGACAGTAAAATGAGACTGTATCATTCATGAAAATGCTTATTTTCAACTTAGACTCCAATAGTCTGCAACCTGCAGAAAATCACATGCAATACACATTGATGGATTGCTAAAAAGTGCAAAACAGAACTTCAGCTACTAGATTTGAAAGAACAGATATGATAAACCTGTATCAAGTAGGTTGACCACTGAACCAAGCTGATCGTTTCACTACCAATTCTGTCTGAAACAGTGTTATTTGTTGCATTTTGAAAGTAATCACAGTTTGAGCTCATGATCAGTTCTGTACCTTGATGACATCTGTTCCATTCAAGTTTAGGTTTCATTTTAATTGCAGTGATGGAAGCTGTTGAAGCAAGTGCATGACACAGATTGCAGTAAGTGCTGATTGGAGCAAAGCTGATATTATAAGTGATTAATCAAAGCGATGAATAGGTTTCTCTGTTTATGGAAAACAAATAATGTTATATAGCTCTGTGAACTGTGGCAGCACGCACTTGGCATCATTATATATTCATTTTAATTTAATATGCATACTTACAGTACAATTTATTGGAAATGCAGGAGCAGAAATGTTCATATACACAAGCTTTCTTAATGAACCACAGTAGGAATCAGTTGTGTTCAAATGTATTGCAAAAATTCTTAATTTGCAGGAACTGGAACCTGTAATTTTATCTATAAATCAATAATAACAAATGCAGCCTAAAAGTTAGGAGTTCTGGAAGGATTCTTTGTTTAGTTGGGTAAACAAGGAATTGTATCAATTCACTGTGAGGCACTGTTAGAAAATAAACCCCAAATGACATCAGCCAGTGTAAATAATTGAAGGAGAATTTGGCTCAAGTTGACTGGGTGTGTGTGTACTTATAGTTCTGTGCAGATCTTCCAGCTTGAAAAAGAACTAATCTTGGCTATGTGCTGTAGGCCAGTTGAATTTTCTGACTAATCCACTAAATTTTGGGTGAATTGAGAATGCATTGAAAGAGGATAATCAAGACTTGATAGAGCAATAGCAGAGTAAGATTTCTCCAAGGTGCATATACTAACTGCTAACTCCCCTGAAACTTGATGTGAGCAACAGTTTGGATTTCCAATCGTAAGGGTGAGATAGTTTTACTTCATGCTTATGATTTATTATATATAAATTTCTATATTAAACACAACTTCTAATGAAGCTCTTAGTTGACATGTGCCATTCCACCCAGTCTGGCTGTTGTTTTCATGTTCTTAAATGTACCATATCTAATTTGTAAATCAGTGCTCATAATTGTTGAAGTATACTTGAATCTTCAGTTAGCATTACACAGACTTGTGATAGTTTTATTTATTACTTCATAAACTGCACAAAAATTCTATTAGTTAGAAATTTCTGAATCAGTGCTTGTTGATCCACATTTTTTCTGTTCAGCTCTTGGAACAGAAATTCCTGCTTGACCATTTAGTGCTCCTCATAATAAATACCAATTTAACGCCCAGATTCATTTACTCTGTTCAATTAACAGAGTAAATAACTGAATGAGAGTAAATCTTGATTCTCACAAAGTCCTGACAATTTATATATGCCTTATAATCAATAGTTAATACACGCCTTCTTGTCAGTTACTTTTTATCAAAAATGTCTCGAGTCAAAGACAATGGTCTGGATTTTACTATGGGAATTAGTCCACTTAAACTGTCAGCCATTTCAGGAGTTCACACATCCTCATTGAGTCTACATTCCAGCGTAGGGTGTGCTGTATAGGCTCATTCAGATTTGTGTTGTCATGATTTATGGGGGGAAAAAAAACTTTTGTCTGACATCATCTCACTGTAATACCCTTGGAAAAGTTACACCTTTGTTGAATGAGGTGTAACTGCGTTTTTAAAGACGTGCTAACTTCATCATTAGTTCTAACACACTCATGGCCCGAATAGCTATTTTATTGTTGTGGAAAATCAAATCTCTCTATCATAATGACAAAAAAAAATCACAATTTTAATTTCCTATTTTTGTAGAATCCCTATAGTATGGAAGCAGGCCCTCCAGCCCATTCGGACCCTCCAAAGAGCATCCAATCCAGATCCACTTCCCTACCCTATCCCTATAAAGCTGCATTTCCATTGGCTAATCCACCTAATTTGCAAATCCCTAGACAACATGGGCAATTTAACCTGGCCAATCCACATAACCTGCACATGTTTGGACTGTGGAAGGAAACCAGAGCACCTAGAGGAAACCCACACAGATACAGGGAGAATGTTTAAACTCTACACAGACAGTCGCCTGAGGGTGGCATTGAACCTGAGTCCCTGGTGCTGTGATGCAGCAGTGCTAACCACTGAGCCACTGTGCATGAGAATATCTCAATGTAATTGGCTTCTTACCTGCTTGCTGATATATCTGTTGCTACATGACAAGACATCACTTTGATCTGCGTCAGATTTAAACTGCTGTCAGGCAAGGCAACCCTACCGCTGTAACCATTAGGTCTTTGAGGTCAGTGGCAAGCATCTCAGCTTCATCACTGATTTTTAAAAACCAGGCCAAAATTTAATTCAATTTTTGGACAATCATCCCAATGTAATATCAAAAAAATGTATTGAAGTGTTTTGTAACAATAAAATCATTGTTCTGACAATTGTTCCTCAGAAATTGTGAATATGACAAATAGAATACAATAACCTAAAATGCTGCAGATGTGTTCTCCTGATTCAGTATTGTGATACTGGACCTCTGTGTTCACCTGTCTCCACATGCCCCCAGCTTTCCTCACTTGGTCTTGCCCTCACTCTCTGACTCATTCTCAAAACATTACCACCTTGCTACTTCATTCCCTGCCTTTAAAAGCTTCCAGAAACCCTAACTTTTTGACTTTTTTGACTGCCTTTGACCAACTTTCATAAATCGTCTGCCTCTCTGCTTTGTGAAGCACCTTGGAAGTTTTGCTACAATAAATGCAAATGCCAAGTTATTATTTTTCTTGAGATAGTAAAATTTCAAAGTTTGTGTAATGGCACACAATATGTAGTTTGCTTAATCATTGTTGAGAATATGGAGAAAGATTTATAGCAAAATCATCAGTGTGTTTATGAAAGATTGATTTCTGATTTTTTTGCAACTAGTGCACAAAGGAAATTTTCACCCCTGGTGACTGAGGTAGCAGGATTGAAGTTTAGGATTGTAAGGAAATAATAAAATTAAAGTGGAAATCTACAACCAGAAATTACTATTGCTGATATTAATTAACAAACATTTCATGCTTGCATATATCAACATATTTAAGATGGATTAATGGCTGATACAAATAATATTGAACAGTCATCCTTTAAAGTCAAGTATAATTTCTAGGTTCACATAACATTCTTAGATTATTTTATTGTGTGGTTTAGGAGAAGGATGTTCCTGAACTTGGATGTGGCAAGAGAACCAGCGAGGCTGAACTTCACAGAAATCAGCTTACTGAAAGAGAAAGTTTATTTCGTCATGAACCGATTCCTAAAATGTGCAGAGATCAATCCAACTCCAGGCTCTGGAGAAGAACATCTTCTGTATGCCTGATGCAACGTTTTACTTACTGGCTAGTAAAGGCAACATTTACTGTTGCTACACTTGCTTTAGGGTTGCAGCAGAGGGAAAGATCATACAATGCTCCTGCTCCTAATTACCATTCCTTGGCTCTTCAGGAAAATGTATGTTGATTAGGGTGAAAAAGAAAGCTTAGCTGACATTTCCATTGAGTTCATACCTTCCTAGAGCAGTATAACTTTTCTCCCTTCCATTCAAGAGGATGGGACATATAATACTTTTTTAGCCTTCACCTGCTACTTGACAAAATGCCAGAAAGTGTTTGATAATAACCTTGTGGACACGCGCAATCTAATTTCCCATTTTCCTCTATGGCGAGAGACTGACCTAAGTTAAACATAGTCTGCACAAATTAATTGATTGCTGTCATATTCTTTCATTAAAACATAATTACCACTGTTATATTTGATTGATACATAATATAGGTTAAATTTACTTAAAATTTTCAAACAAATTTACTTAACAAACTGATAATTTGTAGTTACAGACAACTTACTCATCCTTAGTCTAGCATACTGCTGCATGGAGTCATCATAATTCATTACACACTCAGTTCTTAAAGAAGTAATACAGTTGTGGGATTAAGTTTCCATAAGGTGATAAGATGTAGCAACAGACATGGGCCATTCAGCCCATCGAGTCTGCTCCATTATTTAATGAGATTGTGGCTGATATGATAATCCTCAACTCCACTGTCCTGCTTTTCTCCCATAACCCTTGATTCCCTTACTGATTAAAAATCTGTCTGTGTCAGCCCTGACTATACTTAATGACCCAGAATTTACAGCCATCTGTGGTGAAGAATTAAACAAATTCAGTACCCTCTAACAGAAGAAATTCCTCCTCATTTCTGACTTAAAAAGGCAACAACTTATTCTGAGATTATGCCTCTGATCCTGGATTCTGCCACAAGGGGAAATAACCTTCACCTTTTGTCAAGTCCCCAAGAACCTTCTGTGTTCCAATAAAGTTGCCCCTCATTCTTCTAATATCCAATGATAGCAGGTCCAATGTACTCAAACTCTCCTCATAACACAGTCCTACCAAAAATCTATATTATGTCAAAAACAAACTATTTTGTTCATGTTATATATTGGAATGTGTGTACAGTCACTTGTAGTAATAAAGCATAATGCCTCCGACTAGAACAAGAACTCAAATTATGAGTGGCAGAAATGGTTTGTGTGATCTGAAGTGTAAGCATTCCTGGTTCTAGAGTTTTGGAAACTAAACCATGTGAAAGAAACATGGACTGAGCGAAATGCTCAAGCACTAAATCATTTAGAGACCACATTGCTAGTTTAAGCATCAAGAAAAGTATGAGCAAAGACCAATATTTGTATTATATAAAAAGAGTAAAACCAAGCTTCACTTTTAATCAGAGATAGTAGGAACTGCAGATGCTGGAGAATCCGAGACAACAAGGTGCAGGGCTGGATGAACACAGCAGGCCAAGCAGCATCATAGGAGCAGAGAGGCTGACGTTTCGGGCCTAGACCCTTCATCAGAAAAGGGGGAGGGGAAGGGGGTTTT